GCCCCATCAAAAGACCCCCTCTGACACATTGCCAGTCAGATGTGAGAAACTTGAGCAAGCAATAGTAACCTCAGTCACACAAGTCATGCCCGTTTCGCAGAGACAGCAAGAGACAGCTGGGAACCAGGAGGCCTCCTTTGACTACTACAACGTATCTGATGACGACGACTCGGAGGAAGGAACCAACAAAAATGCCGAGGAAGAAAAGAACAGGGATGATGTCGGCACGATGCAGTGGCTCCTAGAGAGAGAAAAGGAAAGGGATCTGCAGCGAAAGTTTGAGAAGAATCTTACTCTTCTCACCCCAAAGGAAACAGAAAATAGCAACAACCAGAGAGCCACCCACTCAGCCCGTCTGGACAGCATGGACAGCAGCAGCATTACTGTGGACAGCGGGTTCAACTCTCCACGGTAGGACTGTCACATTAATTGCAGCTTTACAGACTAGAAAGTTTCATTTTCAGTTATATGTGTGTGTGATATTGGTGACAGAATGTAGGGCTGTATTAAACAATTTCACACGTTTTCAGACAGTGTTTCCTACAGCTCTGGAATATGCTGTTCAGATGTGTGGGTTTCCCACCATACCGTAAGCAACCAATGGCCATTTGCGACATTGACTCTGTATTAGTTCATTTTCTGTTTCCTGAAAACCTCCCTGTGTCCATTTTTTTCTGTATTAAACTTGGTTTTGCATTTAGAATAGAAGGGATGAGCTCGTGCATACTCCCTGCTTCCCTTTCCCTCTAAGATACCATCAACAACTAATTGGAAGACTAGATGTGACTAGGTGGCATAATCTTTGACTCAGACAAAAAAAAAGTCCAAACATGATGATTATTTTGGGTTTGGGCTTTTTTGTTTGTTTTCTTCAAAAATTTTGAAAGTGTATCTATCACCATTCCAAACTGGTGAGACTGGAGCAGCCGCTGCCCCGACATGGCTGAAAGTGCTCAGGCTGTTTGAACTTCAGAGGTGACCCAGTGCTGCGCGTCGGCAGAGAGAGATGCCTTGCCTAACATACTTGGGAAATGAGCCCAGACGTTTGCATGTGGTGGTGCTGGTTAGTTATTTCCATTCCAGGGACCTCAGACATCATGGAAGTCTCAATGTGCTAGAAGTCTTACAGGCATAGGGAGGAGAGAATTGCTGGTGTGTTCCCTGCCCTGAAGATTTCACAAGCTCGTTTCCAGGTTGAGTCCTTCACTCGATCCTTCTTCTTTCTCTTTCTGGCCTCTGAGAGTCCTAGGTCCCTGCTGGAATGGAGCTTGCTTGATTTTGTTTGCCCTGGATAGCAACCCATCAGAGTTCAGAACAGTGACTCTAAGAACACAAGAATAATGTACAATGGTAGTTCTCTTACAGCGTCTTACTTAAGCTTGAATTATTTATTGCCTGTGTTTAAAAATAAAACCTCCAAGACTGGATTTGTATTAGGTGAAAGAAAATGGGGTTTGGGTTTTTTTGTTGGTTCCGCCCCTCCCCCCCCGTAAAAAGTGTTCTTATTCCTCAGAATTATATATATTTTTTAAATCTATAGCAAAGGCTCTGAGAAAGGCATGTGAAGGATTTCCTGCTTCTACACAGGACTAAATTTCATTTTCAGTTAAAGTCATGTCACTCTGGAATAAATTCCTTTGGATTTGATGGCTACTCCCACTTGATGTTAATGACAAGGCAACAATTACTGGGCCTGCTGCAGCATGCAGTGATCGTCGAACTAGGGCAGACTTTTAACATATGTATAATTTTTCTGAGTAAAAGCTTTGAAAAATAATTTGAGTAAATTGTATCACACTGAGTCCAGCTTAAAAAAGAAACAAAGGTTTTGAATTTGCTCCTGTTACTGATTGTTCTGCAGATGCTTGGCATCTTTCTCACCTACAACTGTTGCATGAGGCTATTTGCAATGTTCTTTTTTTAAATGTAATCTCTTCTTTTAGTTGAAGTGCTATACTTGCAGTCAGTTTTCGTGGGGGAGTATGTGATGGTGCTTGCTTCTTGTCCAGCCTGGCTCATTCCACAGAGTACGTTTCACCTCCAGGATAGGATGTCGACTGGATAAAAATCAGTTCTTCGACTACTATTTTTCTAGCTGTATGCTAGCTGAATATCAAGCTTGTGTTTCTGGTTAAGGCAAAGGCAGATATTTCCTTCCCTAATTATTTACACAAAAGCTAAAATTTCTGTTGATGTTAATCTTAAACTTAGCCAGCAAGAGAACAGAACATAGCGAGCATACTGGATTTAGTGCTGCCATACCGCTTTGTTTAGATCAAAAGGGAAACAGATAAGCAGCTTTTAATAATGATTATGTTCCACACATCCCTTTTTTTTTACTTTACTGTTTACTTATTAACAATTGTCTTTTTTTGGCAAGATCACATAAAGTAAGCTGTTTTTTAAAAAAAGAAAAAGAGAAAGCAACATTCTGTAGGGTTTTTATGTGTATTTGTTTTGTAAGACCAGCGTATAGTCTGGATGTTTCAAAGGCTTTTTTATGAGCTTTGTATCAAGATGATTAAATTGAATGATTTTGGTGAGTTTTGATCACTTCTTGGTATAAGACTATAAAAACGAATTGATCTGAGAGTGAATTCAGCCTTTTGGCTATAATTACCATGCTCTTACTACTTTCCTACCTTATAACAAAAAAAGGTACTCCACAGCCCTTTATCAGGAAATACAAAAAGGCATCCAGCATCCATCTGGTAAGGTTCAGCTAGATCTGACAGTGTCCATTAGCAGATGCCTAGGGAAGAGTATAAGAACAGGATGTGCATGTAGTGGTATTCCTCAGGTATACTCTTCTAGCCTCCACTGATGTTGTAACTCTTGACTTCCTGAGGCATGGTGGTATCTTTTCATTTAAACTGAAGTGTGCAGTGTTGCTTGGGGAATAAAAATTACCAGTTCTACACAGTGAAAGAAAATGGTTTAAAGTGTGACAAATTGAAAAAAGAGGCATTAAAAAAAACCCAAAACAGAACAAAACAAAAACCAGGATGTAGTCAAAGAAATTTGCAATGGTCATTTGGCTTCAAAAGTGTTTTGTGTGCAAATTCGTGAGCACATCACCTCGCAGTATTTTGTTCAGTACCTTTATGCAAGTTGTATATAGTAGATGTTAGCTGTCAGTACTACTTTTTTTTTTCTTTATTTTTAGAGCTTATATAATACTACTGCTCTTTTGTCATGTAAGGAAAGAGACAATTTTGACATTACTCTGCATGCAAAATTCTTACTGCTGTCTTTGTGTATACACGTTGTAATGGTCAGTTTGTAATATCAGATTTGAAAATGTTTGAAGATCTGGAATTGGTGGTCCCATAAAGAATGATACAGTACTGAATGATGTCTGAAAAACGAAGGTTGCATCTATTGTCATTAAAAAGCAGAGGGAGAGGAATCAAAAAATGAGCAACAGAAGTGCACCATACGTCATTGCAGCTCACAGAGGTTACTTACTATGTGCGTCACTCATCGTAGCTGTTTGGAACGACTGACAATAAGGCGGTAATTGGCAGAAGATGATCAGTGCCATTTTGATCAGTTTAAAAGATCTACGGGAGTTTTCCTAAAAGCATCATTAATTTTCTAGACTAAGTCAGTTTAAGATGATTTCTATCTGCCCTTCAACTAAACAAGGTGTTTCTTCCTTCTCCTACGCCATGCATTGACACATTTCTCCCCTGCCACATTCAAAGCTGTGCATTCCTACT